CCCCCCCCCCCCCCCCCCCCCCCACAATCGACAACTGCTGGCACTGACGTGGCTCTAAGCTAGCGGTGCGCAAAACGGATGCACTAGCTAAAAGCTTGGTAGCGCTCCGCTTCCCTCACATTGAGCCCCCCCCCACACACACACACTTGAAAACTGTTGGTACAAACACAGACGTGGCTCGGTCTCCACCGACCCCCCCAGCCCATCGACAAATATCACGGAACAGACGAGCACCTTGCCAAGGCAAGTAAAGCAGGCGAAACACTACATTGTAATAAAACAAAAGGCTAAAAGCTTGACAGCTATGAGTATATGGGGGTAATGGGGGTGGAGGCAGGTGTGGGTGCTTCACCTTTCCCACCCACATTTTGATGTAACTGTCAGGGGATTCGAACCAGTAACCTCCAGATCACAGGCTCACCTTCTTGCCACTACTCCCCCTCACTGCAGATGTTAAATAATAATTAGTCATTTAAAATCTTGGTCCATATCTGCCCATCCACCCATCCATCATCTTCCAGTTGTTCCGACGTCGGGTTGCAGGGGCAGCATCTTGAGTAGGGAGGCCCAGAAATATCTTTCCACAGCCTCTTCCAGCTCTTCTAGGAGGACCCCAAGGTGTCCTGGGTCCTCCCAGGGGTCTCCTCCCAGTCGGACTTGCCCGAACCACCTCAACTGGCTCCTCTTGATGTGGAGGAGCAGCGGTTCTCCTCTGAGTCTCTCCTGATAACTGATCTTCTCACCCTGTCTCTGAGGGAGAGTCCAGCTCTGCAGAGGAAACTCATTTCAAGCTCCTGGATCCACGATCTCGTTCTTTCAGTCTCTACCAGAGTTCATGACCAGAGGTGAGGGGAGGAACGTAGACTGACTGGTAAACGGAGAGCTTCTTACAGCTCAGCTCCCTCTTCACCACAACGGACCGACACAGAGTCCACAATACTGCAGACGCTGCACCAATCCATCTGTCAATCTCACGCTCCATTCTTCCCTCAGTCATGAACAAAACCCCGAGATACTTGAACTCCTCCACTTGGGGCAGAACCTCACCCTGGACCTGAAGATAACAATCCACCCTTTTCTGACTGAGGACCACGGCCTCAGATTTGGAGGTGCTGGTTCTCATCTCAACCGCTTCACACTCGTTTGCAAACTGCTCCAGTGAGAGCTGAAGGTCACGGCACGATGACGCCACCAGGACCACATCATCTGCAAAGAGCAGAGAAGGAATCTTTAAGCCACTGAACTGGACTCCAGCCACCCCCTGGCTGCACCGAGAAGTTCTGTCCATAAAAGTTATGAACAGAATCTGTGACAACGGGCAGCCCTGGAGGAGTCCGACTCCCAACTCCCACCCTGAAGGAGTCCGACTCCCACCCTGAAGGAGTCCGACTCCCGCCCTGAAGGAGTCCGACTCCCAACCCTCACCCTGAAGGAGTCCGACTCCCAACTCCCACCCTGAAGGAGTCCGACTCCCAACCCGAAGGAGTCCGACTCCCAACTCCCACCCTGGAGGAGTCCGACTCCCACCCTGAAGGAGTCCGACTCCCAACTCCCACCCTGAAGGAGTCCAACTCCCACCCCGAAGGAGTCCGACTCCCACCCTGAAGGAGTCCGACTCCCACCCTGGAGGAGTCAGACTCCCAACCCGAAGGAGTCCGACTCCCAACTCCCACCCTGGAGGAGTCCGACTCCCAACTCCCAACCCGAAGGAGTCCGACTCCCAACTCCTGCCCTGAAGGAGTCCGACTCCCGCCCTGAAGGAGTCCAACTCCCAATTCCCACCCTGAAGGAGTCCGACTCCCACCCTGAAGGAGTCCGACTCC